CGCCTTGGATTTTCTATTCAGCCAAGTGGAACAAACATGAGGCCGCTATCAGATACAACAAGCTAGAAGAAAAGAATCTAAGGCCACAACAACACCTACATTTATTCGCTCATTTATCAGATATTTATCATGTGCTATATGCCAGGTATTGCAAAAAAAAAAAAAAAAATCCAGTCTTAGGCAAAATTCAAAGAAGCCACGATGATTCTGAATCCAGTCATCACCAAACAGCACCCCCACTGTTAGCAAAGCACGACAGGGGCCAGATGAAGTTGGAGGGAAACGTTTCTCTTTATTTTAGAAATGAGCGTGACAGCACATATGAAAAATGCCTCTTAGCAATTCAAGGTGGGAAAACTTAGATAAAAATTATTCCCTGACCCCCACCCCTTGGAACTCAGTGCTGCATCTCCCCTGGAGGTAAAGCTGTGCCATTTTCTCACGGTTTTAAAAAACAAAACAAAACCACCAAGTCTTATGAAAACCCCCCATCTCCATGTCACAGAGTCCGGGCCCCAGGCCCTCAATCAGACTTCTCCTTCTCCTTCATGTGCAAGAAGACGATGCTGAAGATGAGCAGCCCCAGCATCATGGAGAAGGCGCTGGCGTAGTAGGGGTAGGCCGAGGGGATGAAGCGCTCGTACTGCGTGTGCTGCAGTGGCCTCACTGACACCTGTGACAGGACAGAGATGGCAGGCCCTGGCCACTGGGAGGCCTCAGCAGGGCATATGCTGGCTAAAAACAGGGACTGCCACCTGTGCTTACCTGTGTGGAAGAGTATAGGTGCGTGTAGCCCAGCCGGTTGTAATCCACTTTAAACTGGAACACACCATACACGTCAGGCAACTTGAACTGAACACTGTATTTGCCACCTGGGGGGGAACCAACACAAATAGCCAGGCTGGGCTTCCCAGAGCATCGCTCCCATGAAGTAAGGGGTACAAGCTGTTTTCTTGTGGCATTCTCTTGGAAGAACTACACTTACCTTTCTTCTTCAAGAAGGTTCTCACAAAAGGGTCAATGCGGACAAACTCCAGCTGGATGTCATCACCATCAAAGGGGACCCATTTGCCATTTGAGAGCTGTTCAATCACGATGCTATACTCCTGAGATAAAAGGCCAGATTAGGCAGGGTGTGAGAGACTGGAGGGACATCGCAACCTGCAGACAGGGCTGTACTCACGTCCCACCCCATGAACACGGCAGGAACTCCCAAGAGTTCTGACAACCAGCAAAAGCCCCTGCCACTCAGCCCCGAACAGGAACTGACCACCCTCCTCAGCGAGGCTAATGCCTTTGGCTCCGCATCGTTACGGCTTCACGGGCCCAGATTCCTTTGCACAGTATTCACGGCCCATCAAACTCAGGACCCAAACCACGAGCCAGGCACTTTGAAGCATGTGTGCTCCCACATCTGCTGCTCTCCTGCCTGACAAATTCATCTTAAGACCCAACTGAAGTGCCTCCGCTTCTCTTGTAAATCCAACCTTGGGGCAGAATTAATCTGCAAAGTCCCTCCCATTGCTGCCCCCACATGGCAAAACACACCCCCTCAGCAAAAGGACATCTCCTATTGCTCTTACTCCTGTTTTATAGAAGCCCTGCACCCAAACTGACTTTCTTAGGTGCAAAGGTTAACTTATCCTTATTTATGTCCTGTAAGCCGAACACAGAAGTGTTCAGTAAATGCTTCTGAGCTGAACTCATTCAACTTGGCCAAAGCCTCCGGGCCCTCCCACCCCAAGAAGCTCTTACCACTAGGTCAGTGACAGTGTAGGCATTGGGTGGGGCTTTCTCGCCCACCCGATGATGGGACACGGGCCCCACACGGAGGACACCCTCCTCCTTGAACACCCAGCGGGAAAGGGCCACAGCCAGCTCATAGTTGCCCGTCTGGGAATACCTGCAGGAGGGAAACGGGAGAAGCTAGGGCACCGGAGCCAACTTCTCTCCAGCGGTGCCTGGCAGGCAAGACGCTCGTGGCCACCAAGATAGAGCATGCTAGCGAGGTTCTGCCTGTACAGGCCTCTTGCACCTCGGGACCCACGGTTAAAGGAAACAAAGAAAAGACAAGACATGGGTGGTTCTGAGTGTCACCTACACAATAAATACACAATTTTCTAAAAGGAATGGTGGAGATTAGGGGTCTCTAGATAAGTTATTACTATCTTAAAAAGCTAGGAGTGCCAACACCAGCTATATAGCAACAGAGTCAAGTCTTCAAATCATTTGACAGCATCTGAAGACGCTTAGCCTCTGACACTTTCCCCTAAAGGTCTCCTTCCTCCCCATATACACAGCCGGCACCACCCGGACCCCTGCCCCTCAGCCCCCTGGCAGCTACCTCTGGGCACCAGGCGTGGCCTTCTGCACTGCTGAGTTGAAGAAGGCGTCGCTGAAGAAGTCCAGGGAGCCACTGAAAATGACGCGGGCATTGTTTCTGGCCTGGAGCCCAGCAATTAGGAGGGTGTTCTTCCCCACCGCATGGGGATACTGGGAACAAAGTGAAGCTGTCATTCAAGCAGTACCAAGTAAAGGAAAAGCAGCCGGGTCTCCAGAGCAAGAGGACAGCAGACCAGACCTAAAGGACCTTCGCCCCTACCTGAGGGAGGAGCCCGAGAGCACACTGGCCTACCCAGGTCCCCATTCCTACAACCTGTCATTTTATCCACCTCAGCCAAGTGTGCTTTCTTGCTATGTTCTTATTTTCAAATAAAAAAGTGGTTTACAATTGGACCAAGGAGCTGGAGGCCTCCGGGCTGCAAAGGCCCTTACCTGGGTGATAGGTTTGTCTGGGAAGAAGGAGTAAGAGGTAGAAGAGCCCGTCAGGATGTCCAATACCAAAGGATTGTCAGGATCAGCCACCATCCTGTAGAAGGACAAGAGAGTAGCCCAACAGTGACCCCGGGAGCTGAGCCTGAAGGACACAGGGTCCCCTAGGGCCATTTCTTCCCCAAAACAAATCCTTTCTGTTTTTCCTCCCATGAGATGAGCTCTGGCTATGTTGCTTAGGCTGGTCTCAAACTCCTGGCCTCAAGCAATCCTCCCACCTTGGCTTCTTGGGATTATAGGCAAGCGCCACACGCCCAGCCTGAATCCTTCTTTCTTAACAGCCAAACACTTGGCTCTCCTCTTGCTGTAACGATGGCGTCTGACTCTGAATATAATAAATTCACCTCGTCGGAGGGAAGGGATGCCCCCAGATAACCACAGTTTGGCTTGGTTTCCCAAACAAAGTGACCACTCCCCAGATTTCTGCTGGCCTCTCCCTGTTCACTTACCCAACACCTCGAAAGAGAATGGGATTTAGAGCTGACTTCCCCACAATGGTTGGGGCCTTCAGCAGGTTCTCAGTGTCAGCCACGATGAGCGTGTGCTGCAAAGAGCAGAGGGAAAGACGGGTGGTCAGAAAAAGGTTCCCCGGGCCAGGGAGTCCCTCCTCACTCCCTCTCTTGGTTTCTAGGCTAAGCCGAGCTTTGCTGTACATGCCTGAAACCTGGAAGATGACAGGCCTGATTACCTGACCAAGGTCTGAGATGTCATAGTTGTGATGGTCAATGACAGCCGTTTTTTCCTCGTCAAACTCGATCCCGCACTCACTGCCCAGCTCTCGCAGAGGGTCACCTGTACAAACCCAAGAAATGCCTGGCTAAGTCCTTACATGTGGGGCTGGGGCCAAACAGGTCACTTGTCCTGGCTTCCCCGTGACGGTTTCTACTGGCCAACACCAGTGCCCTGCAGCTGCATCAAGCTGGGCTTAGCCCCAAACAGACCCCTCCCTGGACAACAGCATGGTAACTCCATGGTCAGAATCTGAATTGATAAAACGAAAACGACCACCTGGCCCTTACCCTCCACAAATACACAATGACCTGGCTCTGCACAAAAACCCCCTTTGAAGCAAAGGGGGTTTGCAGTCAATTACAGTCATGCGCTGCACAAGCACATTTCAGTCAATGACAGACCACTTATGTGACGTTGGTTTTGTAAAACTGTAATACCATATTTTTACTACATCTTTTCCGTCTTGCTATGTTTAGACACAGAAACACTTAGTACTGTGTTCCGGCTGCCTGCAGTCTCCAGCACAGTGACATGCTGCCCGGTTTGCAGCCTGGGCGCGTAGCAGGCCGCACCATCAGGCTATGTAAGGACACTCCATGAGATCTGCCTGGCAACCAAATCACCCAATGACACATTTCTCAGAATCTGTCCCCATCATGAAGCAACGCATGACTGGCCCTCAATCAAACCAGGCCTGGATACACCTGGGCTGACAATGTTTCCCCACACCTTGTCGCCCCACCAAGAAACCTGCTTGATATGAGGAATATGGTTTCAAAAATCGATCAGTACTGAAAAAAGATGAAACCAGACTGGCCAGGTGTTGTTAACTGTTGAAGCTGGGTGACGAGTGTATGAGGTTTAAGATACTACTCTCTTCCTACTTCTGAGTATCTCTGAAAATTTCCAACATAAAAAACAAAACAAAAATCTGTCAAATGCTCTGGGCTCCAATCTAATTAGCCTACTCCAACTTGCCTTTGTTGTGTAGAAGAGCCTATACAAAATAAAACAAGCAATGGTTTGAAGCAAGATTTGTTAGTGAAAAAGAGAAGAAAAATTTAAAAAAGAAAAGAAAAAACAAGTGATAAAAAAAAAAAAAAACAGCCAGTTCCCAGTCCTTAAAGACCCAAGTCTCACTATATCCTGGTCACAGGAAAGCAAAAGTGAGATCGAATGCCAAGTGGCTCTGCAGTTCCCTCCCTGATTTCCTGGTCAAGGCCCACCAAGCAAATGCCAATTTGGCAGCTTCCATCTGTAAAGCCCTCCAAGCACCCTGGAGAAATGCTAGAAAGCACCAGAACTTCCCAGGACAGACTTACCAATGTCTGAGCTGGCAGCTACCAAGACGCTGCCTCCACCATCAATAAAGGCGCTGATGGTCTCCACGTTGATGTTGCCTCCAAAATCTGAAATAAGGCACCAGACAGTGACCCAGAGGTTTCCTCTCCCTGCTCCTCTGACAGCTCAGGGGAGGGGCAGTGAATACAACCAGCCACATGCAGCTGCAGAGCAGCGCCCTTTGGAGGTCGAAATGAGAGGGAGGTTCACACGCATTACAGGGCAAGCCCCCCATTCTCCCAAATGGCTCAGGTTTATAAACTTTTAGGAGTTAATTAGTCAAACAGGCAGGGCACAGTGGCTCACGCCTATAATCCCAGCACTTTGTGAGGCCAAGGATCGCTTAAGGCCAGGAGTTCAAGACCAGCCTGGGAAACAGCAAGACCCTGTCTCTACAAAGAAATTTAAAAAATAAAAAATAGTCAAACATTTACTAATTACATTTGTCAAGTACATATTTCAAATCACATATAAAATATTCATTTAGAAATGCTGCATTTTCTGCCACATTCATGTGATTCAAACTCATCATCTACACATTTCACACCTGTATCTTTGGTCACTGGAAACATACCTGAGGTCACCTACTACAGTTTCCCAGAGCCTATCAATTTCACTTCATCTAAGCTGCTTGAAAAAGAGCACTTTTGAATCTGGGCACGATGCTGTCACTTGATAATAGCACTCACTGCCCTAGCATTAATAGTTTTTTTCCCTGTTAATTCTATAGATTTATATCCATGATATCTACAACAGAACCACCCACATTGCTTTTTTAAAGTGATCACCAAAAGGGCTCATTAATTTCCAAAATTTGTAACTATGAGATCCTATCTTTTTTTTGGCTCATTGGGTCAGGTGACTACTGCCATAAGCAACCAAAACTAGCACTAAGTAGGGCTATTTTCAGCTCAAGGGTCTTCTCCAGGCTGGGTGCAGTGGCTCACACTTGTAATCCTAGCACTTTGGGAGGCTGAGGCAAGAGGATCATTTGAGGTCAGGAGTTTGAGACCAGCCTGAGGAAGAGTGAGTCACCGTCTCTACAAAAAATAGAAAAATTAGCTGGGCATGGTGGCACATGCCTGTAGTCACAGCTACCTGGGAGGCTGAGGCAGAAGGATTGCTTGAGCCTGGGAACTTGACATTGCAGTGAGCTATGAAGACACCACAGTACTCTAGCCTGGGTGACAGAGCAAGACTTTGTTTCCAAAAAAAAAAAAATTGAATCTTCTCCAAAGTGTACTGATGTTCTACACTAGGTAATGAAAGAAGCGCTCAGTAGTGCATTTATTCATTAAATGAGTAACTACTATTTATGAGCTGGGAAGAAAATAAAGAAGACAGAGGGGAAGGGGAGCTATTAAGCCAACATTGCTTAGGGAAGACCTGACAAGTCTTTTGAGAAGACACAAGAGTGAGCCAGGCAGTCCGTAGGGTAAGAGGATCCCCTGCATAGAGAACAACAGGTGCATAGTCCCTAAGGCAGGTGGCCATGGTCACCTGCACAGGGCCCAGTGTAGTTCAGCTAGAGAAAAAGGGGTGAGTAGCAGGTAGTCAGGCCAGGGTGAAGCAAAGGGGACAGGTCACATAGGGCTTTGTGTGCCACACAGGGGCTCTGGCCATGGGAGCCACTGGAGGAGACTGAGCAGGAGACCGACAGGATCTCATTTATACACAAACATATGTATATTTTTTGAGACAGTCACATTGTGTTGCCCAGGCTAGATCAGCCCAGGCTGATCTCACTGCAATCTTGAACTGCTGAGCTCACTGCAATCTTGAACTCCTGGATTCAAGTAATCCTCCCACCTCAGCCTCCCGGGTAGGTGGGACTACAGACACATGCCATCAGGCCTGGGTAATTTTCCTATTTTTTATAGAGACAGGGTCTTGCTATTGCCCAGGCTGGTCTCAAACTTATAGCCTTAAGTGATCCTTCCAAAGTGCTGGGATTATAGCATGAGCCACCATGCCCAGCTATATTTTTAAAGGACAATTCTGGCAGCCAATGGAGACTCGGGTACGAGGGATGAGGGTTGACACAGTGAAGGGTTGGTGCACTGTGAAGGTCCAGGCAGTGAACAGTGCTGGCTGGAACTGGGCAGCAGTGGCAGAAGTGGGAGGAGTGGCCCCCACATGCTATGAAGGTAAAGCTGTAGCATCTGCTGATGGACGGATGTGGGCTATGACAGCGAGAGGGACACTAGGATGGCCCCAAGGAGTCTGGCTGAGCACAGCTAGGAGGATGGAAGTGCCAATTTACTGAGGCTCAATACAGAAGTTTGTCCATCCATTAAGCATTTGGAAATGGGTCCATAAAATGACTTTGTACAGATCTTAATATGAGAAGAGCCCTCTTTTCTGGGGGCAATCTTCAGGAGAAAACAAAAGAGCACCATGACCAGATGCTATAGCTCACATCTGTAATCCCAGCACTTTGGGAGGCCAAGGTGGGAGGATTTCTTGAGGCCAGGAGTTCAAGACCAGCCTAAGCAACACAGTGAGACTTCATATCTACAAAAAGAAAAAAAAAAAAAAAAAAAGAAAGAAAGAAAAAAGAAAGCCAGTCATGTGGCTCAAGCCTATAGTCCCAACTACTCAGGAGGCTGAGGCAGAAGGATGGCTTAAGCCCAGGAGTTCTAAGTTACAGTGCACTATGATCACATCACTGCACCTCAGCCTGGGCAATAGAGTAAGATCCTGTCTCAAAAAAACAAACAAACAACAACAAAAAAAAACCCACCTTATTTTACCTCCAAATTAGATACACCTCTTGTATCTGGGACTCTCTACCTCTCATACTACATTTAGAAAGCCATCTATCCAGTCTCCTACAGAAAAGCCAGGCAGAATCTTAGACATTTCAAAAACAGCCTGTTGGCGTTGTGTAGTGCAATGGTTCTCAACCTGGGGTGATTTTGCCCCTTAGGGCAATATCTGCAGACATTTCTGGTTGTCACAATGATGGGGAGGTGGCTACTGGCATCTAGTGGGCAGAGGCCTAGGATGCTGCTAAATATCCTACAGTGCACAGGACAGCTCGACCAAAAAGAATTATCTGGTCTGAAATGTCAAGAGTGCTACTGTTGGCCAGGTGCGGTGGCTCATGCCAGTAATCCCAGCTCTCTAGGAGGCCAAGGCGGGCAGATTGCTCAAGGTCAGGAGTTCGAAACCAGCCTGAGCGAGAGTGAGACCCCATCTCTACTATAAATAGAAAGAAATTAATTGGCCAACTATATATATAGAAAAAATTAGCCGGGCATGGTGGCACAGGCCTGTAGTCCCAGCTACTCGGGAGGCTGAGGCAGGAGGATGGCTTGAGCCCAGGAGTTTGAGGTTGCTGTGAGCTAAGCTGGCCCCACGGCACTCACTCTTGCCTGGGCAACAAAGTGAGACTCTGTCTCAAAGAAAAAAAAAAAAAGAGTGCTACTGTTGAGAAACACTTGTATAGTGCAATGAACACAGGCTTTGAAATTGAGACAGTGTGGGGTTTAAAACTAGGCAAATCCCTTCACCTTTCTAAGCCTGGTTCCCCATCTATAGAGCAGAGACACAATTTTTCCAGGTGTAGCGGATGTGCTAAGGACCTTCCCCTGTAGCCATCACTGCATGCATCCCGGGAGCCTCCTGATTCCAGAGAGGGTAGGGAAGCCACTGAAGCAAGGAGAAGGAAGCCACAGGACCAGAGAAGGGCCCTGCCCTGAAGCCTGCTCCCCAGGGGTTCCCAAGTGGATTTCCTGCAGCAGCATCTCCCAAAGTGTGGGAGCCACTCCACCAGGGGCAGAAAAGGTGACCCACAGTGATGTGGGGACAGGGCTTTAAATAATGTTGACTCTCAGAGACAGAAAGGTACTCCCCTTCCAATTATTTTTCCAGCTTTCTCGATCAGAGAACATCTTAGTTTGATGCTGGTCTTTAGAACTTCTCTAACATTTGCTAATCTCCTCGTTTAAGAGGGAAGCTCCGGCTCAAAGCCTTCAGCAGGCAGCACTATCAGCACTATCTGGCTAAAACTTAACAGAGTTGTTTTTATTCTATTTATAATTACCTTCTACTTACACCAAATGATGAGACTGGCTTTCCATTTCCCAGTGGTGATACTGGGTTCATTATTGATTTCCTATTAAAATGTAATTTTAGTTGTTTTTTTTTTGTTTGTTTTTGTTTTGAGACAAAGTCTCACTTTCTTGCCCAGGCTAGAGTGAGTGCCGTGGTGTCAGCCTAGCTCACAGCAACCTCAAACTCCTGGGCTCAAGCAATCCTCCTGCCTCAGCCTCCCGAGTAGCTGGCACTACAGGCACGCGCCACCATGCCCGGCTGATTTTTATATTATATATATTAGTTGGCCAATTAATTTCTTTCTATTTTTATGGTAGAGACGGGGTCTCGCTCAGGCTGGTTTTGAACTCCTGACCTTGAGCAATCCGCCCGCCTTGGCCTCCCAGAGTGCTAGGATTACAGGCGTGAGCCACCACGCCCGGCCTAGTTGTTTTTTTTTTGTTTTTAAAGCAGGTTAATTTGAAGCAAACTATTAGGTAATTATTAGCACAGGTGATATGAAATATGGTAAAAATCATGAAGAATGTGTACCAATGACTACCAATTAGGAAACATTGTTTTAGACTCTCTGACGTTTCTCCCATCAACAAAATCCTCTCTCGGCCTTCTCCTGATCAGTCTTAATCACTGCTTCTTTTCTTCCCAATCTATCTCCAGAAGCCCAACTTGGACAGTTCCTGCACTTCATCTTACACCCCAACACGGGGTTTGGTAACTCATTTCAAGTCTTTATTTTTATTCCCTTAAAGACAAACTGAAAGAACTCCTCAAGGGCAGGCTCCTAATCTTTAATATCTCCCCCAGTCCAACATATGTACCTATTTCTGAGTTCTACACACAGCAAAAACTTGGCAAACACCAATTCTCTGCTGAAGGCTCCACTGACTAGCCCAGTCATTTGAAGATTTCAACTTGTACAATCTGGGGTCACATCTGCCCAAGTTACTCTTGCCCCCCAAAAAAGCCAATACCAAAAGCACATGTGCTGGGCAGTTGGGAGGAACATGGTAAGTGACAGGAACCTAACGAAAAATACTTTGGGGACTTGGCAGAACCCAATCTCACATGAATTACAGAAAATAAAGTAGTGCCAACGAAGCAAAAGGTTTTTTAAGCTTCATCAACTGAAGGGAGGGATGGCAGTCCTGTCTTACCCCAGACATGGACAACTTAAGCCTTGTCAGAAAAAGATTAACTGAAGCAAAAGAAGAAGAGAATGACTAGCATGCTCATGAAAAAACATGGCAAAAGAGAAATAGCCAAAGGAACAAAGGCTACTTGGTCTGGAGAAGAAACAACTGCACATGACTGTGTAAAGGCTATGCCCCTAAGCAAGACAAGCATTACAGTTATTCTCTGAGGCACTGGGAGTGTAAGAACAAAGTGAACTAGGAAGTAGGAGACAAATTTCAGTTCATTATAAAAACTTCTTACGAGAACTGTCCAGTGATGGAGTGGATCGCTTCATAAGGCAGAAATATTCAAGTACAAATTGGATAATCTCTCCAAGAGATCCATTATGTTCAACAAGCAGCTCTCGGCTAGGCTGCTGGATATACCCAGCCATCCTCATATGTGCTGGGGGGGAGGGCAGGTGGGGAGCCAGATAATTGCTAAGGTTCTTTTTTCAGCCTGAAAATATGAATGCATCTGAATTCTTAAGACAACTGCACAATACACATTAATAACATGCCATTTCTTCTTTCCACACAAGCAAACCCAAACAGGGAGCTTTCCACCTTTCACCTTTCTATCTGGCTCTTTACAAAGAAAATTCCCTTCTCAGTAGAGGAGCAGGACCCTGGGTTTCATGATCTGTGGCAACATTTGACCCACACCCTGGGCTGTGTCTTTTAGAAAGCTGTTCCCTCCTGGGCTCCGATCAAAAATTAACATTTTCCTCTTTTCTGTAGCAGCATTGCCAAGGGCTGGCGACCCCTCCTGTGACCCAGAACATGCCCAAGAACCAGAAGAAAGTGATCCATCAGTACTGGGCCTCGAATCCCAGTTCTGGAGGCGACGCGGAGTCCTTACCTTCTACAGAAGGGGAGAAGATGATGAGATTGTCATAGAGGAACTCCCCATATTTAATGAGGGACAGGCTGGGGTCATCAGCAGTCTTGAAGGTGAGTTCAAAGCCCCGGTCTGGATGAAAAGAAAACAGGGAGCTGAGGCAGACTGGATGCAAAAAGAAACCCTTGCTGCAGACGTCGCGACCCCCACCCAAGTGGCAGGCCAGACCTGGACGGCCTGCTCCAGAGAATGGGCGGGAGGGAGGGTGGTGGATGCCCTCGGGCGCCTTTCCAACCCCAAACCCTCGCCCGCCGCCCCGTCCGACTCGGCTCTCACCCTTCAAGCTCCGGAAGAAAAGCGAATGCGTCTCCCGCAGGTTGAGGTTGTCCAGCAGCACTAAGGTGCGGGGGCCGCTGGCGCAGACCGAGAGCAGCAAGAGCAGCACCAGCCATGTGACGGACCAAACACGGGCAACAGTGGCATGCCCCATCTTCCTCATTCTGCCGAAGAACCCAGTACCTGGACACCGGAAGTGTCCCGTTTATGGTCCCCCAATCGCGGCTCGTGGCCGTGGAGTACTACCCGGAAGTGATCGGGGTACGCAGGGGCCGGAGACCAGAGGCACAGCTGCGGCGGTCAGCACTGGAGCTCACCGCCGGAAGCGCCGTGGTTGGAGGCGGGTTCTTTGAACTCTATTGGTGAAAGGGGCGCGAGGCCCCGCCTCGCCGAAGAAAAGGTTCAATCTTAGAGAGACAGCTCTGCAGCCGCGGCCAATCAACACGGCTCGGCGCCTCTCGGCTCCGCCCAGTCCGCGTTCCCGCCCCGCGTCCCGAGCCCGCGTCCTGCAGGAGCTTGCGGCAGGTCCGGGCCTCAGTGGTGCTACCTGTTAGCTGGCGTGGTCTTCACTAGGCCAGAACAGACCCGGGACTGGGAAAGGGCCCCACCTCCACTATCTCTAGGGAGGAAGGGGTTGGAAAAATAAGATCAGGGACGGCGGCACCAGGGGCCTTGGCCGGGGGCTGTCTCACACGGCTTGGTGGCCCACGCTGCAGGCAGTGTGGACTGGCGGTGGACAGGCCTAGCGATTTGAAGGTTGTAGCTTTGCAATTAGCTGGGTTTAGTTTCCAACCTTCATCTCTCTCGCTGTGTTGCCCAGGCCAGTCTCAAACTCCTGGCCTCCCAAAGCGCTGGGATTACAGGCGTGAGCCACCGCTCCTGGCCAAACCCAGCTCCTGGGGCAGGTTTTGAAGCACTTAGCACCGGGTGAGGCTGAGCATCCACTCAGTAATACTGGCGCCCACCCCTTCTAGGTTAATACAAGGGCCACCCAGGCCACCTCAGACCTGCCTCCGTCCCACTATGAGTCTAACTAAAAACTACCACAAGCAGTTCCAAGACTTCTGTTCTCTGGATCCCAACCACAATCCTGGGGCCAAGGTAACTGTGGAGAGAGAAGGTAACAGTTCTTTTCTGACATTTGTCCACCAAGAATGGGACAAAAATCACCACCTCCCTCCATGCATCTCCTTAACTACCTCCCCTGCATTCCCACCAGCTCCACCTCAAGTTAAGCCCCAAGTTAAGCCTCTCACCTCTAACTTCTCCAGAGCCCAGCCTTCTCACCCTCTACACACAATGCCGCTTCAATCCACCTCTAATTCAGACCCAGTGGTGCCAACCTGTTGTTCAGGAGTCTGCTACAGCTCAGGGACACCGAAGGTTCTTCACTCTTGGGTCTCCAATTAAACTCATCTCTGCAGCCTAATCTCAGTTTCTGCTCAAGGCTTCCATGGAACAGCCTTCAACATACCCTGAGCTCCCTCCTGGCACTCGCATCTTAGACCTCCCAGATCAGGATCTTCCTTTGTGGGAGCCCCAACCTAGCGCTGCTGTCTTCAGAATGGCACTCTGTGTTCCCCCATAAAAACCTGATCTCGCCTCCTGTGACTCAGTATGCACTGTATCTGCTTGGACTCATCTCTAGTTATCTAAGCGCCCCTCCCCCCATGCCCACTTCTCCAGAGTGTGAGATCCTTGGCCCAGGCATGTGGCTTGTGGAGCCTCCTACAAAACTGATGCAAAGTAGGGAGGAGGGGGAAGGAGGAGGACTAACATGGAGCACCTACTATGCCCCAGGAGCTTTACATACCCTCTCATTTCATCTTCACAATAATCCTATGAGGTAGGTGTTGTCCCCATTTCACAGATGAGGCTCAGTTCCCTCAGAGGGTGGAGCACCCCACAGGGTACGCCTGAGATTCAGTGGGCAAGGGGTGTGGGCTGTGTCCTAGGTAGCCCTCTAGCTGGGCACAAACAGGGTGGCCTGGATTCATTTCTGGCTAAATCATGATACCCAGTGCCAGCAGAGGCTCCTGAGAACTGTCAAAACCTGGGCCCTTTTCTGACCTCAGCAGACACAGCCATATATTCCACAAGGGCTCTGCTTTCCTGGGTCCCAGCTCCTTTGAGAATCAAATGAAAGTGCAGATGCTCTCCCCAGAAAATATGTACTTGCACTCACAATTGCAGGAGTTGCAGAACCCCTGGAGCCTGTTTGTTCTAAAGGTCCTAGGCAGTTAAGAACCCCTGTTCCAGAAAGAGCTTCCCCATGATGGCCAGGCAGGGGCAGGGAAGGAGAGCTCATCCTAAAAGGCAGTTTATTGGGCAGCTTAATGCGGAGTGACCTTCTCTGGGCCGCAGACCAGCCAGGAGTGGGCTGCCTGGGAACCGCTGCTCTGGGACTCCTGGGCCACCCCGTGGGGCAGGGCTGCCCTCAGGGAGTGGGGCCAGTTGGATGGAAGCACGACTCTCAGCTGCCAAGATGCTGAACTTTATCCACGTGGCAGTGGCTGCCCTCTCTTCCAGAGCTGCTGAAGGCCATGAGGCAGGTCTGCGGCTTCTAAGACAAAGACTGACACTGGTGGGCACGAATGGCGGGCTCGGTGCCAGGTGAGTCGATGGAAACACTGATGCGGTGTGGACAGTTGGAGCTGAAGACAGTCTGGCCTCCCGGGGTCTCATGCCCCGGGCAGGGGGGGTTGTCTCTGGGGAACAGGGAAAGGAATGTGTCTTCCCAGGGCTGAGGGACCCCTTGGGCCCCCGGGTCACTGTGGGGGGCAGGTGGGAGGAGGCTCCAGTTGGGGCTGCCCTGAGCAGGCCTAGCAGTCTCTAGAGGCCTACAGGCAGGTAGCGGCAGGCAGCTGTGTTCACAGAGGCTCACTGCCAAAGTTGCTTTTGCTTTTCTTCCGCTTGGCCTTGGTGAAGGGGATGTCGAGAGACTCCAGGCGGAAGGGCCGGGGCTGAGGCATTTCGAGGGCCTGGGTGGATGGGATGGCAGGGTTGCTGCTGAGCGGGCAGCCGAGGCCTGGCGGCGAGTTGTGATGCGCTGTAGGGAAGAGTGCCGGGCGCGCTGGTGAGCCAGGAGAGCAGGGGCGGACAGGAAACAGCCCAAGTATGTGGGGTGGGGAGTCTGGCCCGCCTCCCACCCAGCCAGAGCGACCCCAGGCTCACGCCCAGCAGGGCAGCTGCATCCAAAGGGTCTGGGCTGGGGTTTGGGTTTTTTTTTTTTTTTTTTCCTTTGAGACAGAGTCTCACTTTGTTGCCCAGGCTAGAGTTGAGTGCCGTGGCGTCAGCCTAGCTCACAGCAACCTCAATCTCCTGGGCTCAAGCGATCCTCTTGCCTCAGCCTCCCAAGTAGCTGGGACTACAGGCAAGTGCCACCATGCCCGGCTAATTTTTTGTATATATTTTTTTAGTTGATCAATTAATTTCTTTCTATTTTTTTTTTTTTTTTTTTAGTAGAGATGGGGTCTCACTCAGGCTGGTTTCAAACTCCTGACCTCAAGCAATCTGTCCGCCTCTGCCTCCTAGGGTTTGGGGTTTTAAAGCCTCAGACTGAGGCAGCCTGGCATCGCAAGCCAGACAAGCCTGGGTTCCAGGCCCAGCTCCACCACTTCCTAGCAGTATAGCCTTGGGCAAGCCATCTCCCCTCTCTGAGCCTCAGTTTCCTCAGCTGCAGCATGGGCACAATGCCTGGCACTCAGTGGGTGCTAGTTTCTTTCCTGTCCTATTTCTTCCCCTTATTCCTCAACTGTACCCACTCTGTCTCTTAAAAAACCTTACTGCAGAACTGAGATTTGCTTTTTATTAATATTTTATTGGAAGCTCTGTGGGCTTTGCTTTTAGTTGTAAAAGCAGAAGAATGAGGTGATTTGCCATTCTTGAAACCATGTTTTGCTTTTGTGGCCCTTTTTGCCCCCCTTGGCTCAGTGGTCCTTCACAGATAGAGTCAACCACCAGAGCTGTCATCTGAGGAAGCTGGCATATACCCAGCCCCTGCAAGCCCACGCCACGGCCCTGAGCCCTGTGCTGAGGGCCTACTGGGTATCAGAGGAGACAGGGCCTCCCCACAGGGAAACAGAGGAGTAGAGGAAAGAGGATACCGTATTGAGCACCTACTGTATGCAAGGCCCTGGGCCATCTCCCCACCTCATGGCATCTAATCCTGATTAGTAGCTGTTGTCCCCCTCATTTTATAGCTGAGGAAACAGGCTCAGAGAGGGAAAGGAGTTCTTGAACCCGGGTCCCTCTGACTCCAGAACCACCCAACGCACTTCTCCCACTTGGTGGAGGGGCTGGAGGGGAGCCGGCGGGCAGGGCACTCACTGAAGCTCTTCATGAGGTCCGTGCTGAGAATCTGGCTGGCCCGCTTGGACCGGAAATAGTTACTGGCAATATTTTCACTGTCGCTACGACTTAGCATCAGCTTGTAGCGGTCTTCTTCCTGCTGAAATTCCAAACCCTCATGGGTCAAGTCCCTGTGTTTGTGCAGTCCTCATCGGGGCCCCTGGCTTCAAGTGATCCTACCACCTCGGCCTCCCGGAGTGGCAGGATTATAGGTGTGAGCCACCATGCCCGACCTGTAAGTGCCTTTGAATGAGGGCCCAAGTGGGTTGAGGGTGCCAATGGAGTAACACAGAAAAGGGTCCAGGCTCAGTTCCCTGGTTTTTTGATCCTTAGGCATGAGGAACATAGAAGACCAGCTCCTGCAGTCACACTGACCCACAGCACTCTGGGGACAAAGCCCTGTCAGCTCCCCAGGCCTCCCCTCGCTCCCTCTCCCGGGGGCCTTACCATGTTTGGCTCGCCATTGTCTACTGCAGAGGTTTTGCGGGCTGGTTTGTTCTGTGGCCCAGTTGAAACTGCTATGAGAAAACAAAAGCTGGGGTCACTGCTGCCTGGTGCCAGGCCCGGAGGGTGCAAGTGGGCTGCGGCACTCTCCGTGGAGAAGGGGTCAGGCCCCGCTCAGGCTTAGAAACAGGGAAGGACACTTCCCAGCCCAAGCCAAGGCATGACTGTGGGAAACAGACAAGAGGAGGCTCAGACACCACAGAAGCCACTGCCCTGGCTCCAGGCAAGACAGCAGGTGGGTGTGGGCAGGCGGAAAGGCTGCTGCTGCCCACGGCACGTGGGAGATGGTGCTGGCTGGGGTCTCAGCCAGGATGACATCAATGCCATCCATAAACGGCAGAGGCACAGGACCAAGGGGGAGGACTGCTGGGGGCACTGTGGGCTCCCCAAATGGACAGAGCCAGGTCTGTGGCTGGAGAGAGATCCGAGCAAGTGTGACTTTACTCTGAGATTTATCAGAGATGGGGGGCCTTTGAGGTCATCTTATC